CAGAAAAGGGACAGAAAAGGGACACAAAAAGGGGCAGAAAAGGGACACAAAAAGGGGCAGAAAAGGGACACAAAAGGGGCAGAAAAGGGACACAAAAAGGGCAGAAAAGGGGCAGAAAAGGGACACAAAAGGGGCAGAAAAGGGACACAAAAGGGGCAGAAAAGGGCAGAAAAGGGGCAGAAAAGGAGCAGAAAAGGGACACAAAAAGGGGCAGAAAAGGGGCAGAAAAGGGACACAAAAAGGGCAGAAAAGGGACACAAAAGGGACACAAAAGGGCAGAAAAGGCTCCGGGTCTCTCTGCTCTCTGCTCTGTGGGGTTTGGGTCCCCCCAGCTCTGCAGTGCCCAGGTGCTGTGGGAGCTCCTCGCTGGGGCTCTGCAGAGCTCGTGGGGCTTTAATTTATTAACTGCAGCTTCCCAAAGGCTCGGGAGAACTGACACCTGGGCTGAGAGGGGAAGCTGCTCTGTCAGGTTGGGTTCATCGTCCTCAAAGCACACGCAGAGACGTGAAAGCCCTCCTGGCCATAAATCCTCCAGCCTTTAATAAAAAAGGGCGAGAGCTTAAAAAAAAAAAATTAAAAAAAAAAAACCACCCAAACCCTACAAAACCTGATACTACCATAAAAAAAAAAAAAAAAAAAGGAAAAACTTGGAAGCCTGTGGCTTTCCTCTCGCCCTGATTAAATGCAGATCACAGGAGGGTTTATGGGTTTTGCAGTGCATCTGGTGCCTGGCATCAATCTTGGCGGGCTGGCCGGGCACATACCTGCGATGATGACGGAGTCGGTGCGAGCGGGGCCGAATTTCAATGTCATCTCGTGCTTGTGTTTATGGACCGCCAGGTGGTCCTCGTTTGTGAACCTCTGAAACGAAACCGTTTAGAAAATGGGGCGTAAATGTGTTGTGTGCTTTGCCGTCCTGCCCGGGCTGCGGGGGAGGCGGGAGGGGTGGAGAGGGGGAGAGGGGGACAGGGGTGTGGGATAAGGGATGTGGGATAAGGGAATGGGCTGGGGGAGCAGGGACAGGGGTGTGGGAGCAGGGATGTGGGATAAGGGAATGGGATGTGGGAGCAGGGAAAGGGGTGTGGGAGCAGGGATGTGGGATAAGGGATGTGGGAGCAGGGACAGGGGTGTGGGAGCAGGGAAAGGGGTGTGGGATAAAGGACAGGGATGTGGGAGCAGGGACAGGGATGTGGGATAAGGGATGTGGGAGCAGGGACAGGGATGTGGGATAAGGGATGTGGGAGCAGGGACAGGGATTTGGGATAAGGGATGTGGGAGCAGGGACAGGGGTGTGGGATAAAGGACAGGGATGTGGGAGCAGGGACAGGCTCTGGGAACATGGACAGGCTGTGGGAGCACCGGGGGCAGAGGGAAAAGCCTCTGCCAGGGGTTCTGCAGGGTGGGGACCAAGGATTTTCCATAACCTGGTTTTCAGGTGATGGAGCAGCTGATGGAAATGCAGGGAAATTCTGGATCCCAAAATTCCCACTCTCCTGCTGGCTGAGGAAGAGGGGAATTTGGTGCAGCTGGGGCAACTTTTCCTGCGTGGGGTGAGGCAGAGCCGGCCCCAGATTCGGCTCCTGAGTTTTCATGGAGCGAGGGAGGGGGAGCATCTCCCCGCCACCGAAATCCCAGCTGCAGGACGGCCCCCATCCCTCGGGGGGTGAATCCCGCTGCCCGCGGGGCCGGGAAAGGCAGACAAAGGCAGCAGGCAGCGAGGCAGGGACGGGGTTAAAGCACAGCCCCATAAAGCCAGGATGGATTGCGTCTCTCCTAATAGACTGCGACAAACGGGCCGGGCTCCGCAGCGCTCGGTGCAGGAAAACGCTGCAGCAGCAGCAGCAGAGCAGCGGCGCATTCCTGCCCCTTCCCCTGCGCCTTCCTCGCCTCCCGAGCCCACCCAGAGCCTCCCGCTGCTCGGGGCTGCTCCAGCGGGACAGGGCTGGGGCCTTCCCAGGGCTTTACTGACGGCTCTGCTGTTGCAGCAAATAAATCAATATATCTGCGTTTCCCGGCTGGGCACGGAGGGGACAATCCCTCGGTGCTGGGGGACAATTCCTACCCTCAGTGGCAGGGACAATCCCTCTCAATGGTGGGGGACAATTCCTACCCTCAGTGGCAGGGACAATCCCTCTCGGTAGTGGGGGACAATTCCTACCCTC